AAGTACCTGGATTTTGCACCCACTCCCCTAAAAACGGGAATTTTGGGAATTTTTGGAGGTTTGGGAATGGCCAGAGACAGCCTGGGATTCCCCGAGGGTGGAAAATCCCCCAAAACCCCGTTCAGAAAGAGCCAGAAATGGGAAAATTCCACCCAAAATGCAAAAATTCCACCCTGAAAGTCCCAAAAATGAGAAAATTCCACCCAGAAATGGGAAAATTCCACCCAGAAATGGGAAAATTCCACCCAGAAAAAGTCCCAAAATGAGAAAATCCTGGCCGGAAATGCAAAAATTCCACCCTAAAAGTGCCTAAAATGAGAAAATTCCACCCAGAAAGTCCCAAAAATGAGAAAATTCCACCCAGAAATGGGAAAATTCCACCCAGAAATGGGAAAATTCCACCCAGAAAAAGTCCCAAAATGAGAAAATCCTGGCCGGAAATGCAAAAATTCCACCCTAAAAGTGCCTAAAATGAGAAAATTCCACCCAGAAAGTCCCAAAAATGAGAAAATTCCACCCCAAAGGTCCCAAAAGTTCCCGGATTTTCCACCCACTCCCCTGGAAATGGGAATTTTGGGGTTTTTGGGGCTTTGGGAATGGGCAGGGACAGCCTGGGATTCCCCGAGGGTGGGAAATCCCCAAAAATCCCCAAAAACCCCGTTCAAAAAGAGCCAGAAATGGGAAAATTCCACCCAGAAATGGGAAAATTCTACCTAAAAATGCAAAAATTCCACCCCAAAACGCAAAAATTCCACCCAAAAATGCAAAAATTCTGCCCAAAGGGTCTCAGAAGTACCTGGATTTTGCACCCACTCCCCTGAAAATGGGAATTTTGGGGTTTTTGGGGGTTTGGGAATGGCCAGAGACAGCCTGGGATTCCCTGGGATCCGGAAATCCCCGAAAATCCCCGAAAACCCCGTTCAGAAAGAGCCAGGAATGGGAAAATTCCACCCAAAATGCAAAAATTCTGCCCAAAAATGCAAAAATTCCGCCCTAAAAGTCCCAAAAATGAGAAAATTCCACACTAAAAGTTCAGAAGTTACTCCTAAGTTTCCTAAAAAATGGGAATTTTGGGATTTTGGGGAATTTGGGGAGTTTGGGAATGGCCAGAGACAGCCTGGGGATTCCCTGAGGGTGGAAATTTCCAAAAATCCCCAAAAATCCCGTTCAGAAAGAGCCAAAAATGGGAAAATTCCACCCAAAATGCAAAAATTCCACCCAAAATTGAGAAAATTCCACCCCAAAGGTCCCAAAAGTACCCGGATTTTCCACCCACTCCCCTAAAAATGGGAATTTTGGGATTTTGGGGGTTTGGGAATGGCCAGAGACAGCCTGGGATTCCTGAATTTCTGGGAATGTTTTGGGGAATTTCTGGGAATGTTTTGGGCTGTCCCAGGTGAGTTCCTGGGAATATTTGGGTGGGTTTCTGGGAATATTCCAGGTGAATTTCTGGGAATATTTTCTGCATTTCTGGGAATGTTTGGGTGAGTTCCTGGGAATATTCCAGGTGAATTTCTGGGAATATTTTGGGTGAGTTTCTGGGAATGTTTGGGTGAATTTCTGGGAATATTTTGGGCAGGTTTCTGGGAATATTTTTCTGCATTTCTGGGAATGTTTGGGTGGGTTCCTGGGAATGTTTGGGTGAGTTTCTGGGAATGTTTGGGTGAGTTCCTGGGAATATTCCAGGTGAATTTCTGGGAATATTTTGGGTGAGTTTCTGGGAATGTTTGGGTGAATTTCTGGGAATATTTTGGGCAGGTTTCTGGGAATATTTTTCTGCATTTCTGGGAATGTTTGGGTGGGTTCCTGGGAATATTTGGGTGAATTTCTGGGAATATTTTGGGTGAGTTTCTGGGAATGTTTGGGTGAATTTCTGGGAATATTTTGGGTAGGTTTCTGGGAATATTTTTCTGCATTTCTGGGAATGTTTGGGTGGGTTCCTGGGAATGTTTGGGTGGGTTTCTGGGAATATTCCAGGTGAATTTCTGGGAATATTTTCTGCATTTCTGGGAATGTTTGGGTGGGTTCCTGGGAATGTTTGGGTGGGTTTCTGGGAATATTCCAGGTGAATTTCTGGGAATATTTTCTGCATTTCTGGGAATGTTTGGGTGAGTTCCTGGGAATATTCCAGGTGAATTTCTGGGAATATTTTGGGTGAGTTTCTGGGAATGTTTGGGTGAATTTCTGGGAATATTTTGGGCAGGTTTCTGGGAATATTTTTCTGCATTTCTGGGAATGTTTGGGTG